GAACCTGGAATTCAGCTGCAAACTGAAATTCATTTTATTCACAGTATGGAGAGTCTTTGTCTTAAAGTACCTTGTTTAAATGTTTCAGAAGCTGAGCATCTACGGAGATTTGGAATATATGAATGAGCAAAAACTCAACAGATACCCACCCTCTGCACTTGTTGTGGTTAGATGCAAGACTGAGGAACATGAAGAAGCAGGACCTCTTCCTACAAAAGTCAATCTGGATCAATCTGCAATTTAAATCCATTGGATCTGATAGACTAATTCTAACAGAGCTAGAAACTCCTGATTGATTATGATGGTTCTTCAGATGAGAAGCTTAGCAGCCAGTCTTTAAATGCAAATAAAGTTGCAGAATCAACAAATGTCATGGGATTTTGTTTTCAGCTAGTAGAGAAGATTCAGACATTCAGACATGAATTTGTTTGTTTCCAGGCATAATCACTTTTCACTGGTGTTTGCTATTGTGTCTTTTTGCTTACAAAAGTTGTAAGCATGCTTTCCATACTTCAGCCAGGACACTTTCAAACTTACTTGTGTGTTCTAGGATGTAATGTGTACAGTCAGAGTTAGCTTTGTAAAGGTATAAGACGTTTTAAATAGGCAGGAAATGCCTTTCTAGTGTTGCACTTTCTGTTGTAGTTAAGAGAAAATATTATAAAATTATCTGCTGAATTTTTTTGTACTTGTTAATGTCCATGCACAAACAACCTTGTCTTCAAAAACAGAAATATATTTTTTCTACGGTGTGGCAATATTCAAGGTGGAAAGAGTTTGTGAGGTACTGTAAGCTAGAACTCAGCTTGTGGAAGATGGAAACTTGTTAAAATTTACAGACATATCCCTTCACATGTAAAATGTTACATGGTCAGTTATTTTGTCAAACTTTAGCCTTGAAGTCTTTAATTGCTTGTAAAGTTAGCACCTGTGTTTTCTGAAAACTTCTACTTTCTGTTCTTGATTAACTATTCTGGTCTTGTAACTTCATTTACAGAAACAAGTTGATTCCTGAGAAATGAGAGCAGACAAATAAAATTGACTGTATAGAAAATGTTGACTGTATAGCTTTTTACAATGGTTAATTATCGACCACAACAGGCTCAGTGTGAAAGCCTGTCTGTAGCCTTCCTCTTATGGGAAACATGACCTGATTTTGCTGTGATTCACTAACGCAGCAACAACAACTAACAATGTCCCTCATGCCTAACCTATTTTTTGTGGCTCTTACTTTATGCTGGTTCCCACAGTGTTGGCAGGTTGGGGGTGTTGGTGATTTATTTTAGGGTGTCTAAGTGAATGCTGCCTAGAACAGTCTTCAATTCACTGTCATTTTTTTGTTGATTAGACAGAATTCCCTCAAAGGTTTAAAAAAATGTAATGAACTGTGGTGATTCTGGGTGATGCAGTGATGTATTCCCTTACCTAACCCTGGCTCAGTGGCTGTTCCCAGCTTCTCTCTGAGCAGCTGATTGTGTGACTGCGGCTGATGGAGCCTTTCAGGCAGAATGTGCAGACCCCAGCCCAGCAGCACTCCAGCAGTGTGGCTGTCAGGAACTTTCAGGTCTTTGAGGATGTTTGTTTCAAGCAGGTTTCTATCAGCCTGCAGGACCTGCAATCTTAAGTCACCTGTACCTCTTCACGCTGAACTCTTCAATGGGACAGCCCAGGAATTTGGGTGCCAGCAGCCACTGCCCTCTGTATAGGTGTCATTGCAGAGGCCTTGCTGTGAGAAGGGACAGGGTGATGTTTGGGGACACTGCTCACTTGGCAGGGACAGGGGTTGCCTCTGTCAGTGAAGCTGCAGCAGTGATTCAGCCGTGTTTTCTGCAGGCACAGCCCAGCACGGCCCCGCTCTGCTGGCAATGCCAGAGCTCAGATGTGATGAGTGCAACCCTGTTCAGCAATCACTGCCACTGCTGGCTTTGCTTCAGGGATTATTGTCCATCTTCTTAGCACTGTGGTATTTGGGATTTCCAGAAGAGACTTCAGCAATTCCCATTTTTCTAACTGAATAGCTTGTGGAAATGTTTGCAAGTCAGTTAAAATGTTGTCCTTTACCATTACATGGTTGCAGAGGGAGCAGCTCCATGCACACCTGGCTCTTTGCCTGCTCTAGCGTGGACGGTACCACCTCTGTTAGGCTGATGACTTGATTTCACAAAACTTTCTCTTCAAAACTCCATTGCTTACAGCCCTGGGCTCCAGTTAAGCAAACAACTTGTGCTTTCATTGTGTGTTTTGTCTTTTGTTAGCTGTTTAATGACATTTCAGCTGAGTGATCTGTGCAGTGCAGCCAGTGATTCAGCAATGTGCTCTTGGGTCACAGAGAGCTCTGTGCCTGTGGCACTCTGGCACTTGGTGAGTGTTGTACTTGTAAACTTGTCAAAAGATCTTCCCTCAGTAAAATCAGATACTAGGAAGTAATTGAACTGTTTCTCAAGATTTCTAATCTAAATGGACTCTTTAAGCTATCTTGGCATTTGGTTTTGCAAAATGTCATTTCCTATTCCTTTTTTGTTAAATGTTTGACTTACTGCCATCTCCATTTTCAGAGGCTGCAATTTGGGTTTGATCTCTGCTCAAAACCACTGTTTAAATGAAAGGCCTTAAATTATTGAAATTGCAGGAGGAAAGCATTTTATATTCTCTTTAGGCATGTGTTCAACTGAACCTGTATCAGGTTTAGAATGGAATCATCTGGACACAAATGAGATGACCCTCTTAATTGTGTGCAATTCACTGCTGGCAGAAATAGCCAAGGTACCTTTGGGGGAAACTGGGGGGGGTTTATGTGCTAGAAAAACAAAAACCTTCCATCATACTGAATACTTTGATATTTGTTGCCTCTTCAGCTTTTCTGATCTTTGTCAATTATTTTTTAACTATTTTTTTAAGCTTCAGAAGAGCTTGCTTTTGTTTCTTATGTTGCTGCCATGAACTCATTTTTCTGAACTCTAAGCAGTCTTTGATGTGGGGCAACTGCTCTAAAATCCAACTGCCTGGTTGGCTGCAGCTGAGCTTGATAATCCCAAAACAGGAAACAGATGGTGGTAGATGCCAGGTTGTAGAATGATAGAATTTTTTAGCTTGGAAAAGACCTCCAAGAATGAGTCCAACCATTTCCCCAGCACTGCCAATGCCACCAATGTCCCCAAGTGCCACATCCACGTGGCTTTAGGGGTAGTTACTCCACCACTGCCCTGGGCAGCCAGATCCAACACCTGGCAACTTTTCTAAGTGAAGAATTTTTTTTCTGTTATCCAATCTAAACCTCCTCTGGTGCAACTTGAGGGTGTCTCCCCTTGTCCTATTGCCTGTTAATTGGGAGGAGAAAAGCCTGCCCCCCACCCGGCTCCAACCTCTTTTCAGAGAGTTACAGAGAGTGAGAAGGTCCCTTCTGAGCCTCCTTTTCTCCAGACTGAACTCCCTGGTTCCCTCAGCTGCTTCTCATTACACTTGTGCTCTAGAGCCTTCCCCAGCTCTGTTGTCCTTCTCTGGCCATCTCTTACAGACATTTTTCTCCAAGGATGGGTTGACTCCACATTTTAAACTCCTCATTGTAGATTGTTTTGCAGGGTATGCACACCTGGTCTGCTTCACCTGGCTCTTTCACAGGGCTCTTAGCCCATCACCTAATAAGCTTTATGAAGGCTCAAAATAGTCCTGTATCAAGTCTGATTAGGAACTGAAAACTTCCTCTTTAAAGAACAAGAGATCCAGAATTTAAGATCCTCTTAGTCTGACATTTTTCCACATTGCAGCAGCTTCCTAGACATGCAGACTGTTTGCTACTTGGTCTTGGATGTTTTCACCCAAAATCCTTGAAACAGGAGAGTTTTCTTAGCACCACTTTCAGTAGCAATGTATTCCTGTGAGAAGCTTCTGTTTTGGACAAGTTGGTGCTGCTGTAGTGAAGGAGGAGCTCCTACAGGACTGTGTTTCATTGTGGCTGGTCTGTGAGGACGGCATTGGAGATGCCCTGCTCATGAAGAATCTATTAACTCACTATAATTGGGGGTGGGTTCATGTGTAGGGATGGAGAGGGAAGTTGGAGCTGTAGCTGTTCCTCTGTGTCAGGCATTATGTGGTGCTTTGAATGAATTCAAGGCAATGTCTCAGAGCCAATTTAGAGACAATCTGGCTGCCAGCCTCTCTTCCACAGCCCTGGTGAGACTGTCTTGCTTAGGGTGGCAACAATTTGGAAGCACCTGGGTCCTGTGGACCCTCTTGCAAGAACAACACAGGCTCCTCAAAAACTTTATGGTGGTGCTTTTTCTCCCCACTACCCCCCTGCTGATGAATTTTCATCCTTGAAGCTGTAAAACTCCTCTGTGGGAGCTGTGCCAAGACCTGCAGCCAGTTTAGGAGGCTCCAGTGTATTTGTAAGTTTGTGTTTGCTGCAGGCTGAGCTGCTAAGTCTTCCTGCAGGCCTGGAAATTCAAGCATGCAGGTCAGAAAGGACCCTGGGGAATTTCCTGTGCCTGTGCTCAGTGCCCAAGCAAGAAAGCTGTTCCAGATGGTTGCATCCTGCACAGCTCCCCTGAGATCTCATCAGCTGGCAGGAGCCTGGGCTGGTGCTGCCACAAGGGCAGTGTGACAGCTCTGCCATGGGAAGGAGGTGTGGAGAAATGAGACTTTCATGAAGAGGAGCAGATTCTCTTTCCCTCACACTTTAATTTTGAAGGGGTTTTCCGTGACCACAAAGGGAGGAAACGCAGTCAGCATGAGCTGGACACGTGTGCTCACCCTCCAACCTGTCTCTCTCTCTGTTTACTCTGATTTGTCTTAAGCCCTGTTGCAAAACCATGTGTGAGATGAGAAGAATGAGTTTTGTTGTTGGCTTTCACTGGGGCTGGAGCAGAGGCTCAGCACTGCCGCTCCCCTCCTGGCTGTGCCGTGCTCTCCTCGCTCTCCTGCCTCTGCTGGCTTTGTGTCCTGGTAACATCGCTTGTGCTCAGGTGCAGAGAACTCCCTGCGCTCCCTGGAGCTCTGGAAACATGAACAAAACTCATCCTCAGGTACAGTCCTTCAGAAAAATCCTACATACAGCTGTTCCCTGAAGTACGTGTGTTCTTGACCGCGCTGTTTGCCTGACCTCTTTAACTTCTTTCTCTGAGATTTTGAGGTTTTTCTACTTAGCTTGATACAAAGGGAAGAGTTGATATAAAGCACTGGACTTGGTTAGTGTTTGTTTTACAAATGGGTAATTAAGGTTTAAAGGCGATTGTTTTGGGAATCAAAGCTGGGCCATGTTTTCACCGAGGTAATTTTTGCTTGTATGTAACAATAATGGAGTACACGATGTATTCCTGGGAAAGATGATGTGAGAACTAGAAAAGCAAAGTTTGTGTGGCTGTGGGATTCTGTAAATCCTTTTTGTCCCTTTCCTTCTAGAGAAATGGTGATGTGGCTGATTTTGGTTCAACAGAGTCCTCTGGAGAAAGAGGTAATGAATAAAATGCAGAGTTCTATTATTAAAGTATAAATCAATTGAAACTATCAATGTAATATGAAATACAACCACTATTTATGGTCTGTTTGGACGGATTTTCCCTCTTTTCTATGTAGTGAAATGTCCAGACTATAAAATTAATAAACTTCAGCTGTTCTGTGTTGGCCTGGAGCTGGCAGTCACAGTGGTATGATAAGTGATCCTTGCCTGTCACAGAAAGACTCATAATGAGCTTTCTGTGGCCTTTCCATATGTCTTCATAGCCAAACTTCAGCAAATTTTGCCCATACTCTGAAGAACAAGGTGAGATCAAACAGAACCAAATAGCAAGCCTGTAGATCAGCTTGCAACATTTCATCACCACCATTATTTTCTACTCAAGTCTGTTGGTAATTGTGCTTTGTAGTCAGAGGTGTTTTGTAGACACAGACATGCTGTAATTCACCATTTCTCCTCTGAGCTGAAATCTTCTGTTTGGCTCCTGCTCGAGCATAACAGAGGAGGAGGCTGCTGGAACCAGGATCCTTTTCCTGTTGAGCAAAGGCTGTGCCTTCCCTTGAGCTAGAACACTAAATTAAGTAAACACAAAGCACAGCTAAGACAGATTCTAACTTAAAAGTTCTTTAAGTTCCTGAAAGCTTTTTAAAATTCTAATTAAAGATTTTTAAGTTCAGATATACCAAAATCAATTACACAGGCAGGATTGTCTTAAGTGACTGGTTACTGAGATGGTCACACTAGTATTTTTTGCTATTGGTCTGGGAATATGAAGGACTGGAGGAAAACACCCTGTTGGTTTAGAGGCAAAGCTCCAGGAGCAGTTTGCTGGGGTGAGGGCAGGTGCCTGGCATCACTCCTTGGTGTTCCACCATTGTTACAGTGCCTGTGGGTTTGGCCTTTAGCTTCTGCAGTTGGTTTGATTTATGTACCTGACTTTCTGAAAGCTGGACTCCCTGGAAGGCTGCTGTGCCCTGGAGATGTCGCTAGGGAGGGAAAGGGCAGCTCTTCAATTCCTCCTCGCCATTCTGTGCTGGTAATCCATCCTCATTCCATGGGAGTGTGAGTCCTGGTTGGGGCAGAGAGCCTGAGGCGCTGTAAACTGAAGTCTTGTCTCTTGGGGAGTTTTGTTATGTGCTCTGGGAGGGCACCTTCCCCAGGCTGACACCAAGCTGCCCCGTGTTTCAGTGTCACTGCTGCCCCATAGGGCTGGGCAGGGGCTTGGCCTTCATCCTTCTGCATCCGAGTCCATGGGATGGGCTCCGATGGAGACGTGGCGTTTGTGCCATTCAACCCCAGTGCTCTGTAACAGCAGCACAGGTTCTTGCACACTGCAAGCCGCAAAATTCCCCATGAGGTGGTGTTTAATGTTGGACTTTGGCTCTTTAAACTCATCAACCCCAAAGCCCCGGCTGCCCCTGCCAGTCTCACATGCAGAGACCCCAAAACGTCAGCCTCGTGTCCCTGCACTGTTCCCCTCTGAAACACCCCAGACCCTTCCTCAGTCCCTCAGCTCTCTCTCTTGCCTCCCCCAGGCCGCTGCCATCCGTGTGGTGCCCGCACTGGCTGCACACAGAGACACCTCTGCATCTCTGCCGTGGTGCTGCTCGTCCTCGCGGCCGCCCTGGCCTCGGGGGTGGCACTGGCACTCCTGCCACAGGCACCAGGTTAGTGTTTGTTTTACAAACACACTGTTGTTTGTATCCCAAGAGTGGTTATTTTTTTGGTAAGGAAGGTCGGAAATGGTGCCGCATGAGCAGAGCCCTCGTGTCCATCACTGTGTGTTTAATGGTGCTCTCCAGCACAGAGCAGGAGGAAGGGAAGGGATGAGCAGGGTGGTGGGGGCTGGACCAGCTTTGCTCAGCCCAAATGGCCGCCAGCCACTCCCTGGCTCTGCTGTGCTGCTCCATGGGGCTGGGATAACTCTGGGTAGCACTGCAATGCTTAAGACTTCTGGTGTGGTTTTCAGACTCTGCCATGAACCTATCAGAAATTAATCCTGGCCCCATGGTATTTCCAGAACAAAAAATTAATTTTGGAAACCCCCCTTTACTCCCCTTGATCTATTCCTTGCATCACAAAAATTCTGGAAAATAAAGATTTTCTTGCTTTCCCCACAGTGAGCCGCTTCTGCACAGCCCCCAATAACAAGACAGGCTTCTTGTGTGATGACAGAGTGACCTGTGTCCCAGCCAGCTGGGTCTGTGACAGGGTCAGCAACTGCAGGAACGGAGAGGATGAGCAGGAGCAGCTCTGTGGTGAGTGGTTTTGTTGTGAGCATTCCCCCTGCACTGGTCTTCCAGCTGTGAGACAGCAGCTGTGGTTCCTCTAACCCTGCTCTGTGCTTCTGGCTGCCTGTGTGAGCAGATAAGCCTGGTAGAGCCTTTGCAGGGCAGATGCTGAGAGATGGCACTGCCCAAAACCTAGCAGGAATGCCAGGAATTAAAGACTTCAAGCTCTTCTGATCTTCCTAGGAAAATTTTAAAAACCATGATGTTGGTTTTTAAAAATCTAAAACCATCACTGAAGTTGTATGCCTATATGGGTAATTTATTGTTCAGTCACCCTGGGGAAAAAATGAAATAAAGCAGAAACTGGGGGCAGACTTCCTGTGTGCGATGACAGAGCTTCCCATTTGTTCCCATTCATTTGATGCTGCAGGGGAAGTGTCCTGGAGCAGCCTTTGGTGCGTGCCACCCCTGGTGTGTCTGTGCCTGGGGGAGCTAAGCACGTCCTGTGTGTGTGCCCTTGCAGGTGACTTGCCCCACAGCCTCCCAGGGTACCTGGTTTTCTACTGCAGTAACCCCAGATCCTGGGTTTATGCTGACCAGAGGTGCAACGGGATGAACGACTGTGGGGACTGCTCTGATGAGACGTGGAGCTGTAAGTCTGTCTGCTGGCTCCTGTCTTTTCTGCTGAGGGGTTGCAACAGCTTGTGCAGGTGTGGTGCTCGTGGATGCTGCTGGAAATGCCTGGAGGCTGGCATCCACCACTAAAACACAGACTAGCTGGGATGGGGCATGAGTGTGAACCATCCCCCTCTCTGCTGAGGCTTCTGTCACAGAGCCTGGTGGCACCTGAGAGGGGAAAGGCTCTGTGGTTTGCTCCCTGTGCCTGAAATTGCTCTTCCTCCATGGCTTGCTGATGTGGAGCAGTTTCATCGGGATGTGTGGCTGTAGTTAGTAGCAACCATTCAAACTGGCTTTTGGTCAGCAGATGGGTGGATCTCCAAGCTGGGCAGGAGCTGAGTCTTGCTAGAATGAGCAGCAGATTTGTTCCTAAGTCACCCCCGTGGTTTTGGAAAAAAAAAAAAAAAAAGGGGGGAGGAAGAAAAAAAATTACAATTAGTTGTTCCCCCCAGGATGGCCTCTCTGCCATGAAGGTCATTGCAATGTCACGCTCTGGTTTCTCCCACAGGTAGCCAGTGTCTGCTTTGGTGGGCTCACAGTCACAGGGCTGTCACCAGCGGCTTTTCTGCTGGGCGATGAAAGGATTTTACCCATGGGAGGAGGGAGGGAGGGACGGAGGGAGGGAGGGGGTCAGTGCAGCAGCAGCAGCAGCATTTCAGTCCCCTGTTTTCTGTCCTTCCCAGTGGCCGCCTGCCCCCCGTGTGGGCAGGAGTGGTGGAGCTGCAGCCCTGTGCACTACGAGTTCTGCTCCTGCATCCCCAGGAGGCTGTGCCGGGATGGCATCCAGCACTGCCTGGGCTGGTCCGACGAGTTCGTCTGCACAGCCTGAATCCTGTGCCCATCCCTGCTGGGGACAGCAGGGCGCTTCCCACACGTCACCCTGGAGCCTTGGGCTCCTGCCCTGCCACCCCCTTGGGAAGCTCCAGCCCAAGGAAATGGTCCCAGCAGGGCCCAGGGGTGCGTGGCAGCCCTTGGCTGGACACTGGCTGTGGGACAGCTGCCAGGAGTCTGCTGCCACGTGAAGGTGACACTTCCTTCATGGGCAGCACTGACTCGGTGCCACGCTGGAGACGTTTCACCAGGCACTGCTGGCACAGCCCTGGGCCAGGGGATTCTCCTCTGCCCACATTGGGACCAGAGTGAGCCACGGGAGGGACACTGAGAACTGCCCCGAGCAGCTGGAGCTGAGTGAGGTGAGCCTCCAACACATCTCCATCGTCCTGATCTTCACTGGCAGGAGGAGAAGCTTCTATTTGTGTTCAGAGCACATCTGCAATGTGTTCTTTTTTGTTTCAGCAGTGACTTTGAGGGCTCTGTGTTGATGCTCCCAGGACACTTCCTTGGGAATGCTGTGCAGGGAGTGACACCGTGGGGAGCTGCTGCTCAGGCCACCTCCTGCTCCTTTCTCAAACCATGAAGGCCAACACAGAGAGTGTAATGACATGGAAAACTGGAGAAGTTTCAGGGTTTTGGGGGATAAATCATGTCCCTGTGACAGCCAGGGCAGGGAACCAGCATGTAAATAACCTGCTCTTCACTCAGGGCTGTGCAGTTTTGCAGCAGCAGGTTGAGGACAGCCATGGAGATGGGATAGGTCTCACTGAAGTTGGCAAAGAAAGGAGGAATAAGAAGTCTCAGCCTTGGAGCAGAGAGCAGCAGAAAATCAACTGCTGCTCCCAGGGTGGTGTAGGATGACACTGGATCTGTTTGCTCCTTGTTTTGTTCCTCTGCCAGCAAGGCAGGGTCAGGCAGTCAAGCCTTCGAAGCAGTCCTCAGGATATAGGTATGGACATGACACTGAAATTTAAGAAAGCTGAGGTTTTCTCTGCTCCTTTGAAAATCTCATCTGTGTCTAAAACATCGAGGAAAACCCCACATTTACAGTGAGTACTCTTACTTTTCTGGGCCCAAAATAAACATGAGGTGATCTTTTTCCCATTGCCACCCCAGGTCACAGATATTTAAAAATAAACCCCTGTTCACTCATCTCTTCTCTGTCCTGTGATCTGCAGCTCTGCCTGTCACTGTAACTCAGATCAATGGTGAATGTTGCTTCTAATTTGTCACTGGGATATAGCTGGAAATCGGAGAGATCTTTTTATAAATAGCTTTACAGTACTGTGACTCACAGCTCACCTGAAATGAGATGGCAAAATCCTGCATGGGGAATGTTAAAGCTTCTTTTTCTCACCTGTCCCTCTCCAGGCCTGGCCAGGGTGCACAGCATGTTTTCTTGTGCCTGTGAAATGTTGTCCCTGTGCAGTAAGGATTGAACTTAATCAGCTGTTAAAAAAACAAATACAAGAACACTCATGCTTAGCACAGGGCTTAGGGAATGGGATTGGTAAAAATAGGATTGGTGAAAAAATGTGCATCTCTCCATGGTCAGATCAGCACATCTCCAGTGCTGGAAGGGGGGGTAGCCAAAAATTCCATGGTGGCACCAGAAGCAGCTTGAGGGGGAAGATTTCACATCTTCCTCCCCTCTGAGCTGCTGTTTTGAGTCACAATTTGTGCCATTATTTGTCTCAGCAGAGAGCTGATGTAGTTGTCAGGGGAAGGTATTAATAGCCTTGAGTTTCTGGGAAAAGAAAGTGGGATTTGAATGCAAGTGTTTTGTGTTGCCTGTTTTGTTTGTTTGTTTGTGTTCCTTTTTTGAGGAAAATTCTGCAGTAAGGGAAAGACAAAAGGGTTTTGTTCTTTATGCATTTTTGAGCTGAAGTTCATTTTCTTGGCCTCTTCATGGTTTCCAAGGATGTGCTGCTTTTCTTGGTGATGGATTATGGTAAACAGTAGTGTAAAAAGAAGATATCCTCTGAAGAAGCGCTAGTAGGGGAAACCTGGAGAAAATCCTTGGCCTCATGAGGCCCAAGAGGAAAATGATGAACACTCTGGACCTCAGCCAGTTTTGATGGAAACACTCAGAGCAGGGATTCAATGTTAAACAGTTACCTGCAGCATTACAGCTATACAGACCAACATAGAACAGGTCTGAATGTTCAGGTGATTTACAGCTGATCTGCATAATCAATATTTGAGTTAAAAATGCCCCTCAATGTTTCCAGATGGAGAAGCACAGTTAGTGTATTGCAGGCACACTGAAAATGGTTTTTAAACCACAGAATGATGTCAAATGCAGTGAATTTGCTTGTGAGGGAGAATGAATTACGACTGCAGAGCATAATCTCTACAGTAACCTCATTCCAGCTCTCATTTCCTGGTCTAAAATGAGAAAGAAAGGGGACTTGTGTTCCACTTCGGGGTTCTGCAACGGCTGTTGGCAAGGTGATACTGCCTCTGCCTCCCTTCCCAGAGGTCTGTGCTTATCCTTTGTTCTCCCTCCCTTTGCCACAGCCCCATCAGCGCAGCCTGATGCTTTTGGGCTGAGGTTTCTGTTCTAGCAGCACTGTAAACATCCCATGGCAAACTTGACATCCCACTTGACAAACCCAGTGCAGCTTCATTTCAGATGAGCTGCAGTGATTCGTGTTCTGCCCCTCGAGAGGCAGGAGAGGAGCAGGGATAGGACCAGCTGTTTTGGTAAAAAATGCCTTCATCAGAAGAGTTAGTTAAGGATGACAACAAAAACTTTATTTGAAAAAATTATTATGTATTGAAAATATACAGTAGCATTACCAACCTTCTTGTCTCTATCCCTTCCCCAGCACAGGTTACCCCACAGGCATGTCACAGCAACCAGATTTAACTTGTGTCCTTTGTCACTCCCTCTCAGTATGTCCAAATCCTGTCATCAGCAAGAGAACAAACAAAAGAGACACTTCTTTCTGACTCAGTAGGTATTTAACAAATCCCAGTCCTCCACAGTGAGGCACAGATGCTTCTGTTTGGAAGTCCTTTCTCTCTCTTGTTCAGACAAAGCTCTTTTTTTATTGTTCTTTAATTCATGGCTGCCTGCAACCTCCTGTTTCAAAGGTAAATGGCAATTCTGAACGTTTTCCTTATAAAACTGCAAGTTTCCAGATGCTTTAGTTTCTGGCTCCACCAGTGTGCATTTGACTACTTCCTTTATTCTGTGTGTCTTGCCATCTACAAGCAAAAAAAAAAAAAAATCAAGTTTAGATTTTGGGAAAAACACAATTATGCTGTAAAATGCGTAACTTTGTGGTACAAATTGTTTTGGCCAAGCCAACTTGGATATGTGCAGAGGGAAAAATACTGTTTATATTTTGGACTCAGAATTTTAAGGAAAAAACTCAGTTGTTATATGTGCTGTACTTGAATTATCCAGCAATCTAATGAACGAAAAAACTCAAGTACACTGTAATGCAGTTACACAAAGTGCTGAAATTCCACAGTGAAATTCCACTATTTGTACTATAACCCCAAAAAGTATGGAAATACTCCCTGTAGAAAAGAAAATAAATTAACTCTGGTGTCCATGCAGTTACGTACAGAAGTGAAGAGTTGCTACTCTGGATCTCAAGTTGTCCTGGGGCTTCATGGCCTCCATAACTGCCTGTTCCCACTGCAGAACTGTCTGAAAGAACAGATGAAGCAGTTAAAATGTGTCTTGTAAAATTTACAGAACTATCATTGGAAACAACTCCATCCCTTGTTCTTTCCTATTCAGTGATTTTGTTTTCTATAAGGCAAATTTTTAGAGAGTAAAGCACGTTTAACCCCCCTTACCTGTTCTGCCCATCCCTCTGTTTTGCAGTTACTGTGATCAAATTCTTTCAGAGGCACTTTAGAGTGAACCAGGCCTATCTGTGTTTGGAGCCGCTTTATGACAGCATCAACATCCTGGGAAAAAGGGAAATAAAGCAGTCAGAGGGCAAGAACTTCTATTACACTTGTCCAGTAAACTTTTCCTGATGATTTTTACCTTGAGACCTGCCCCAGAAATGTCCAAACAATTCAATTTCTTGAAAGAAAGAAGGTATCCAATTCCCACATCTGTGATTTTAGGGTTACCTGTAAGGCCAAGTAAAGTTAATTAAGTTGCATGATGTGGAAAAAGATGATCAAAATACCAAGGAAGTATTTGTTCCAAAAGCTAATACTGGAACAAGACTGGCTTTCTCCCTCTAATTATCAAAATACAAACATTTACAATACCAATTATCAAACTACTAAAAATATATATGTAAGTACCAAATGCCTGAGACAGGTCTGCCCTGTGCCTTCTGGCAGGCTGCTGGTGAGATCTGGCTCATGGGAATCAACAAATTAACCATATTCCTTCAGTGCTAAGGGGGATAAATTCTTTATCAGAAAAAGGACACAGGTTCTTTCTGTGATGAAACCATGGAGCACTTACAGGACAAGTCCAGCACCAGCAGATTCTCAAGGCCCTTTTTCAGCACACGGACGGGCGCTGTCATCCTGCGCAGGCCAGCATCTGACAGGGAGTTGTCCTTCAGGAGAAGCCTTTTCACACTGGCAGGAGAGATGCAAACATACAGTTTATGGTCATTATTTCTGACAATTCTGCAAAATGTCCTAAAACTCTGTGTCAGAAGGGCCATCCTGTGCCAGCCCTTACAGGCTCACTGTAAAAAGCAGTGAGAAAGGAGCCTGGGTTAGCAGGACTAACAAATATCTTTATATTTCCCTGCTAGCTCAACAGAAGCACTACTTGAGCAGCCATTCCCACAGCTCCAGTGACAAACTGATCCTAGAGCCAAACATTTGCCAACATAGACAATAAGCTTCTTTATACCCTGAAGTTCTTTATACCGAGGCTGCCAAACTGAAATGCACTCAAAGCTAAGAAAAAATGCTTGGCAAAATGAGAGAGGGCAAATTTGATAAGTGATACAGCAATGATTTTAAGAAAATAATGAGGTATTATAACATAGATTAACAAAACTCAGGAAAAAGCATCATACTAAAGTGCTCTCTTCAGAGCACTTCAAGACAAAACCTTGATGAAAAATGCACCAAAATCTTACAGCAACATAATATATTTAATTAGCAGTTGTCCTACCTATTGCTTCCAAATGATCTACTTGTCATTATTTGGTACCAAACAAAACTACAACATTTACTGTTTTGAGATGTTAATTAACCAAATATTCAACCTCCTGCTTGCAGAAAACTTCATTTAGAACGCTAGTTTGGTTAAAAATTTGGCTGATAAAGTTCCCCCTTAAAAACAGGAAATGTAAAACTGTTACAAATGTTAAAGATGCATTTTTTTACCCTGACAATGAAAATTATAAAAAGTTGATATAAAACATGAGACAGTAAATTATCTTGCATCTTTTTAGTACTTATTATGATTCGGTATGTGCTTTGTGTACAATAAATTCTGTATTTTGTTTACCTCCTGAACAGGTTTCATGAGCAACCAAAACCTTCAACCTTACACTCTGCAGCCTGTGAAACTTCCCTTTAAAGTCTCAGCCCGATTCTCTGAACTGCTCAGTGGTAGGAAAGAAAGTGTCATTTTTAGCTCAAGAAATTGGTACCTAGACAGGGCCTCTTTGGTGAGGTGTTCCAGCAGCTCATGTTCATCTCCAAGTTTACAGCAGGAGAGATCCAAACACGTCAGCTCACGGAAAGACTTAATTTCTTCAAGCTTTTCAGAGATAACCAGGTATCTGCAAAGCCAAAAAAAAAAAAAAACCCTCAGTGCTCAAGCATGTAAGGAGGTGTCTACATCCCCAAGTGTCATAAGCACAATGCACTCGTTTCTGCTAAGTAGTTGTGTGAAAATTGACAGAAATTACCCAGCTGCACTAAGCACCTCTTTATGTGCAGCTGGCACACAACATGTCTGAATTCTCAGTCTTCTCCTTAAATCACTTTTTGTGGTTTTGATTTGATGCAAAAACAAGACTTCAACTTGAAAATATTGCTACTAGGAGCCTCTTTACAGATTACTGCTGTATTATTTTAGAATAATGCAAAATATCGCAGTTTATTGTAAGTCAGCTTCACAAACTGCTCTTCCTCGGTGTCTAGGCAGGGTATAGACAAACCCACATTCATCCAGGTTTAAAATCCACCTCAAATGTGGATTTTAAACTGGACAGGATAGCTTGCCAGTGGCAAAATTTTACTTTTTATATACATCAATAAAATACTTGACAAGAGGTAAAAGTCCAGGACTGGCCAGAGCTGTGGCCACACCCCGGGCAGCAGTTACTCAGTGAGGTTTTTTTTAGCTGTGCTGGTTCCCTGGTCTGATTCACTCAGCAGCCACGCAAACATCTGTGCTGGAGCTATTCAGTGGGAGGTTTAGGGATGGGAACAAACCACTGAAGAATGGCAGGCATGAGTATGCAGTAATGGGCACGTAGCCCTCAATACCTCCCCTGCAGTCACCTCTTGCTGTCCCTGTGGCAAGACAAGCTCTAAATTCACTGATCTCTCCTGAATTTACCTCATATTCCCCATCACTCTGAGGTCAGCATCTTCACTGCATCAACTGGGGGTGATTATTAATTTGATCCCTCCAGGAACACCTCTTTGTCCATGCAAATAAGGAGACCTTAATATCCTCCCAGTGTCATTTTACCCCTCACACCCCTTTCCTGTGCAATTTGGTTGTGCAAAAAGCACAACGTAAGAGTCAGAGCACAAGCCAATTCTTGAGAGAGATTATTAGCTCAGGGGGGTTCTGGACAGGAGAGCGGGCTCTTCTAGAAATAAAATTAATTAGAAAAAGATTTAATGTGCTACTAATGTGCTAAGACTTGAAACTTAACTCAGCTTCTGTAATGGCAAAAGATGCCAGGAGTAGCTTAATTTCTAAATAAGGCCCATAAAAATTATCTGCGCTAGAGATAAAAAGGGAGTAGGTTTAAAGGATAAAACAAAGGATAATTGACTTCTAGTCAAACATTCCTACTGTGCTCAGAACACCCTTGGCACTTCAGATGAATATGCCAGTACTTTGATTTTAAACTGGATAAACCATCCCTTTTTCAAGTGTGGAGATGGAAGAGACAGGTTCTATTACTGGGAAAGATTTCAGCAGGAGCAAGGCTTTAAAAACACAATCCAGTTTTAAACTTGGAAAGACTCTTTCAGTGAAAAATGTGAGCATTGAGAAGATGAAAAAACTAGTGCTGGACTGTAACCAGGACCTTGTTAAAGTATATTCAATATGGGGGTAGCAACAACAATAAATTAATGTAAAACCTGCCTGATTTCAAAGCCTGCAACTTACCCACAAGTGTGTATCTTCTTGTGAGCCCCCAAAATGAGACACAACAGCAAGGTTATAGTTAGTAAACATGAACAATTTGCAAGGGTGTATTTTATCTGTACAGTCAGCTAAGTGTGTCAAAAGCTTTTACACAGCAGTTACAGAAACATCCCATGAAATGCCTGAGAAGGCACTAAACACATGGATTTCCACAGAAGTGCTGATTATTATTGTTAAAAACAGTTGCAGGTTTAATCCTCCACATAAGATCCCCTGCTGGTTAAAACAGATGGAGTCTGTTACTTCTGTTGTGATTTGTATCTTAAAATGAAACCTGCAGCTGCACTTGTAGGAAAGGGATGGGACAAAAGACAGCAAGCACAAGAATCAGATAAGGCTCAGGGCATTTCATTAAAATTAGGTGGTGTTATAAGCCCAAAATGTATTTTTATTTAATTGAAGTGTACTAGCAGAAAGCCTTAGCAGGTGACAAGATTTGTCAGGGGACACACTTACCTGTTCCGCAAGCACAGTGAGCACAGCACCAAACCGCCATAGGCTTCAGTGAACTTCTGCAGAGCTCTCAGTCCTGTCACTGGCTCTGTGAACTTTTGTCTTGCTTCTGCTGCTGAAAAGAGCTTTTCAGCAATCTGCTCTGGGAAACCAATCAACGAGTCAATGTGATCAACATTGTCAGAAATGTAACCCAGCACCAGGCTGAAGAGGGACTTGGCCGAGTAGCGGAGGTTCCCCTCCTTAGTGTACGTGAAGATGAAATGATCAGTCCTCTGCCTCCTTGCCCTATCGTCCTCCCTGTTCATGCAAAGCTCCACTGAAAAACTTCTGGAAAATAGACTAAAAGGCCTTGTTTTGGGAGTGACATTGTGTACGCTGCCTGCACCCTGATTTACCATGTGCAGCTTCCCATTTTCACGCACGTATATTGGCCCAGTATCCAAATGGCTTTCTGAGTTGAGACAGTACGACATTCCCCTCGACCAGCTCTGCAAAAACAAGTCACAGACAGGTGAAGAACAGCCACAAAGGAAAACGGGACCCGGGGAAAACCCCAAAGCTGGCAGCACCCCTTAGAGCCCCGAGCATGGCCATGTAGCCCTGCGGTGCAGGGAGGGCAGGCTGTGTGGAGCAGGGGTGTGAGCCGCCTGCCACCAAACCACACACCCCATCCCAGTGGGAACTGGACCCCGGGCTGGCTGAGGGCCCGGGATGGATCCCAGGCCCAGGATGGAGACAGGGGCAGGGGGAGAGGGGCTGGGTTTGAGTGGGAAGTGCCCCCACAACCAGGCCTGGCTCTGCTGCAGGCAGGAGAAGGAGGAGGAGGAGGGCACATGTCTGAGTGCAGCAGGGCAATGGAGCCTGCTGGAAGCTCCCTCCCTGGGAGGGTGGGCATCTCCCGGTGTCCCTTCCCCAGCCGGTGCCGGGGGGGCTCTGGTTCGTGAGCGGGTCCTGCGGGGGCAGGAGAGCTCAGAGCTGCCATGGCGAGGGGCACCTCAGGGACGGGATCCTCTCAGCTCCTGCCCTGCGCGGCCGGGGATCGAGTCCTGCGGGGCGGGAGGAGATCGCGCCCGAGGGGGGCCGGGGGTACCGAAGGGATGGGGAAGCGGGTGCGAAGCGATCGGGTCGGAGCCGGAGCGGGGACAGGGGCTACGTTGGGAAGGGTCTGTGATGGGATCGATTGTGCCCGGGGGTGAGAGCGCCGTGAGCGGGCACAGCCCCGAGGGGCACCAGGGGAAGGGACATAAGGAGAAGGGACACAAGGGGAGGGAGCACGGGGGGAAGGGTCCCCTCAGGGAGGCCAAAATCCCGCTCGTTCCCCGGTCCCCCTGGCCCCCACCTACCTGGCCCGGGAGGGGCCGCGCCGTCAGCCGGGCCGGGCTCGGCGCTCCCGCCGCCCGTCCCGCAGCGCCCGCGGGCGGCGGGTGGGGCCGAGCGGGGGGCGGGCGGGGGGCGGAGCCGAGCGGGGCACGGCGGGAGCGGCGGGTCCCGCCCGGCCTCCCCCGGCCTGCCAGGGGCGATCCCGGCTTCCCGCACCGGGAGGGCCGTGCGGAGCAGCTGCCGCCGGTGCCCGGGAGCCGCGGCCCCGCGATGAGAGGCGCCGACTGGTGCCGGAGCTCGGCGGGGGCCGCCCTCGTCCTGGCCACGTCCAGCGATGCCGAGCACCCCGCCGAGAGCGTGGCGGACGGGTGAGGGCCGGGCGGGGGGAGCGGCTCCTCCCGCACGGAGCCCGGCGGGGCTGGCCCGGGCTCGGCCCTTCGCCCTCACGCTGCGGTGGCCGCGGGGTGCGAGCGCTCGGGCCCGCCGCCATTGCGCGCTCCCGTGTGCTGCCGGCGCCTGTAAATACCTCCAGAGAGCTGCCCCGTCCGTGCACAGGGCACTGCTGAAAGTACCCCCAGTAAAAATACCTCCCCCGTCCTTTTCCCCCTCTTCCCACTCCTTTTCGTCTCTCTCCTTCCCTTCCTCACCGTCCCCCTGTTCTTCCGCCCCTTTCTTTTCCACCCCTCTTCTTTCCCCCTTCCTTTCCCCTCCGTATTTTTTCTGTGATAAATTTCATTCAAGATGGCTAAAGATGGAAAGCTGAAGTTGAGGGGTTTGTCCCGTTTTTTCTACAGAAGCTCCAAAACATTTTGGACGACGACAGGCATGTTCCCACAGGAACTGATTATTGGTTTTCCCAAATGTGTAAAAATCAGCAAAGTCGCCATCCAGTGTTATTTGGGTAAGACTTTGTGTCTTGCAGTAGGTAATATGTGCTATATTAATATGTGTGTCTGTGCCTTAATGAAAGTTCCCACAGCAGTGTCATAGTCTGTACGTACCCACCTTTAACAGATTCATAAACATTTAACTTCACATAAAGATTTTGCATAAAGATTCATTTTCACAAAGCAATCATCCTTCATATGCACAATCCCCATAGCTTAGACAAAAAATGAACTAGTTAATGCTCTGAAAGTGCTTTGTGGCTGTAAAGTGATGGAATAAATATCAGTATCAATAAAGAATCAGAATTTGCGTTGATATTTAGAATTTATATATATATTTTAGTGCGGACCTTAAGGATTGAAAGAAGCACATCTAAAGACCCTGTGGGTTTTGAACAGTGCATTGAAAAAGGTAAGGCTGAGTTTGTGGGGTTTTGTGGGAACAATATTGGTCTTTTTCAGTGCATCACTGTAACCCCCTCATCTGTTTGTTAAGTGTGGCATGATGTTTATTTTATTGGACATTAATGTAATGGTCACGTTTAAGTGAATTTTGTTAACACTGCTGGTCTCTGCAGCAGTTTAGAGAGTAAAATGCTGTATAAGGGCTAAAAGCACTACTTGTGCACTTTATGTTCCAAAAATTAAAAACAGGCTTACACAGTATAATAGAGTGCCATTTCCTGCATTGTTTGGTTTGGGGATTGGCTTTTTTTAGTGCCTCTTGGGTGACCTTTTATATCACTGTAATGAGTGGGATATATATACACACACAGACTGGGATATTGCAAAAAAGTATTCTCTTAAATCACCTGTAAAAATAAAAAAGAACAATGTCTCTATGCAGTGTAAATTCATAGTCCTTAAACTCACTTGAACTCTGAGTCCAGTGAAAACGTCACAGCATTGCACATTATTTTTCGTTATTTACCTTAAAATATGTTTTCTAGATTTGCAGCACAGAGAAGGACAGCTCCAAATGGAAGAATTTCCAGTGAGTATTTACAGCATGCATCTGTAGTGGTTCATGAAATGGGATGTCTGGACTAAGTGGGGAGAAATCATAAAAAGCCCAAACATGTCTTTATTTACAATTACTGCTCAGTTGGTGTTAAAGAGAGGAATTTGTAGATTGTGGTGTGAAATTGCACTTCCCAGCTGCTCCTCTGTAGATTATGCTATGAAATTGCACCTGCCTCATGCTCCTAACGAGGTGCAAGGGCCCTTTCCAGAAGTGTGGCAATCTTCCCTCCTTCAATTGCTGCCTTTAAGGCTGCAGAATTCAGGAGGTGATGGGATTTTTTTTTTGAATTGCAGGTCAAAGAACTTGATTTATGTGCAATTCAAAAACAGGCACTGAAATATCCAGATCCTTGTGTTTAACAAACTTCTGCAAATGTGGTTTGGTAGTTTTGTTACTACAGAGAATGCAATAACATTATTTTTATTCCTTCTGCAGCTTCCTGAGTTCCAAGCCACTTACTTGCGTTTCATCATCAAATCTGCCTTTGATCATTTTGTGTCAGTGCACCGGGTGATGGCAGAGGGCACGGCAGACAACACTTGAGCTCAGCTTAAATTTGGGCCTCCATTTTATTTTTTTATAAGGAAGTTTCATTTTGATAGCTGCACTGTAGAGTATGTTTATTATTAGAACCTTGTATTAAAGTTTTTTTTGAAGGTATGGGTGTGGTATGTATTCCCTCCTGGTTTAATGTGTGGAATAGAATAGAATGTAGAATCATTTAGGTTGGAGAAGACTTTCAGGATCATCAAGTCCAGCCATATCACAGTGCTGTTGTTAATTTTAGTAACAGCTTTTTCATTTTGTAACCTCAGCTGTCAGCCTAGAATACCTGAGCATAACTGAATCCATTTAAGGTAGTATGTTTATATCAGGCCTACATAATACATGAATTAGAACTCAATTTCCTGTAAAGTGTTTCCTTTGCACTCTCAGTTAAATAGAAATAAAAAAGGGATAGCTACTTAAGTGAGATGTATTACTTCCTACTGTCAAACAAGTCCTTTAAAAGTCCTTAAATTGGTAACTTTCTAATCAGCTTAAACACAGAGATTATTAGAATGAATATAAATGTCTGCTAATGCTTAGAAATCACCTGGGGGAGAGAGGCAGGGCAGGAAGGGAAATAATCTGAAGCCAAATTAAGTACTTTGATAGACTTTTAATAATTGTAGATCAATCCCTTGTTTCTGTAAATATTTTCTAGAATCAGGTCACAGCCACCAGTGCTTTATGCTGGGACCATCATAACAAATACTCATGGAAACAAGTGCTAATAGAGATTGTCTTGCTCAGAAGCCTCCTGAAGTTAGTGAAAGGGAACATTTTATATATACAAATGCAATGTGTATAGTAATGAAATCAGTTGCTTTGGCTGCCAGTGGACTCTTGGAAATGTCACCACCCTGAAGTTTATCCTGCAGGATATTCCTTACAAGTGTAAATGTTGGTGTCCAGAGCTCCATGGAGCCAGCTCCCAGGTTACTGCATGTGGTTTAAGAGTAGTAAGTTACTGTAGAACAGAAGTTGGTGTTGTAGGGATGACACCTGAGAGCTTCTAGACAAATATAATGAACATTATTCCATATGCTCCTTACATTCACATACAACATTCTTCTTTTCTTGTCTCTATGGCTGTTTTTAAATATTTTTTTTGGTCCTTAGACTCAGGTCTGTGACAAATTATCCTTGAACTTCTTTATCCAGATAGTTTTTACTTCAGAGTCCTTTTTTTTTTTTCCTATTTCAGTTTTTCCAGGATGACACGTATTTCCTGGGGGTGGTAATTCCAGGGCCCCACTCCTCCCTGCAAAGGCAATAAAATGACACAGTGATGCTTAAGCAGACAGAGCAGAAATCCTTCAGAGCACAGCAGCTGCACCAGAGCTGTGGGCAGGTGTGCCTTGGGCTCTCTTTCCACTGGAGCCATCCCTGGGAGATGGTTATGCACTGGTTACACCCTGTTTTGTCACCAGGACAGAGCCACTGGAGGTGGGAGGTGTTCCTGTATCTCACAGCTTAGATGTACCTCGTGTTACTAGTGAGCCAAAAGATAAATATTTGAGCAAGACAGGTGTACATCAAGTATGTACATTATAAAGGCCCAGACTGGTTTTGCTGCATGTTCATTTCTCTCCACATTTACAGTGCATTGTGCAATGTTTAGCTCTCAAACAGAATGAAATACTGACTGTTAAGCAGTCTCAAGTTACCTTGAAATTTAAAAAGCTCTGTATACTGTGCTCATTGCTACTGATATTTTTTACCTTGTAGAGAACCTTCCCTCCTTGAAGCATGTAGAGTCGTTCTGGCAGCGCAGCGTATTTTGAACTGCTCAGGTTTTCCATAGTGTCTAAAACCACTGGACATAAAGGGTGATTTTTCTGAAGAAATTGTGCTGCAACTTTTCGATCTTCAAGGCTTCTGTGATTTTTAATAACAATATTGTTTTTAAAAGCCCATCCATCTAAAACAAATGAGGGGATTTAGCAATGAAGGTTTTGAATATGTGCAAGGGTGGACATGTACTGTCTCATATCCCAAAACTAGGTTAAAAGAATCTTGCAGTTTATTCCTAACATCAAAACCTACCATGAAATGAAAGCCTCCCTCAAACTATGGCAGCACTAGAGCTTTGCAATAAGTGGTCCCAAGATCTATTTTTTTTCCTTTTAATTCCATCAAACCATATTTACCTCTTGCCCTGGATTCAGAAATATTTGATGGATTTTAGGTGAAATTTTTCCACAGAAATCAACCCTAGAAAGACACCATGTGGGTAACATGTATTCTGCTTGGGTAAGATTTGTCAGTGTTGTACATTTTGCTTGATTGTACTCATTAAGCCTATAAGCCAAAATTACAGGTCTGTGAGAAGCGAAATGTGAGCCAGGACACACGTTTGTTTTTCAGAACTATGCAAACAAACATTTGCACACAACTCTTCCCAGTAAAGTAGAAACTAGAAAGCTATAAATGTTAGGTTTTAGAAAAACATTTAATCCTGGGATAAAGCCAGTGCCAATGTGTTACTTAGAATCCAGTGTAGATAAACAAGTGTGGTTTGTTTGCTTGCTAAATTTTTCAGATTTAACTGTATCCTGTTCTTAGAAAATGTTAAAAACTAATATTTTTTTTAACATATATTGTACACTTAACTTTTGTTCTATGAA